AAAAGAAAGGTCGGAAGAAATGGAGGGTCACTGGATTGGACCCATGCCCGTCGAAATTTTTCTTGATGACCTGATGGGATCGCCTGACGGCCCATTCACGCTTCGATCCCCCAGCCATCTTCACGGCATCTTTCAGTCGATCCAATCGCCCGCCAAGTACGACAACGAGAAGGAGTACGCGAAAGCGGTCGTAAGCTCATTCACTGCCATTCACCTCCGACATCTTGATGACGCCCAACAGGTCAACGTGATTCAACCCGTAATGTCGGATCTTATGCCACTCTTCAAACTTGTCCTTGGGAACGAGTACAAGGACGCGGATTCGACCACGAAAACCGTCACCGATGCATTCGTGTATCCCTCCGACGTCGACACGCAGTATCGTCCCACTCAATGGAGCAGAACGGAACTCTGGCTGGAATTCAAGAGAGCTGCTTCTTTTTACGGGTTCAAGGATGACAGCCCTGATGAATGGGTATCTCAGACCGAATCGTCAAGAGATTGTCGCGGTCAGCTTGCTGGTTACGCTGCCAATACGTTGAATGTGCAACATCGAAAACACTTGTTCTCGCTTAACCTTGGTCCAGACGGCGTCCGGTTCTTCAAATGGGAGAGGACATACACCATCGTATCGCGTGCATTCGATTTGTCAACAGAAGGCAAATGCCTCGTCGAATTTCTCTACCGGTTTTCTACTCTGACGGATGGCGATCGAGGCAAAGACGAGACAGTGACGCCGGCCACGGAGGAAGAAAGGTCTATGGCAGAGCCGTTGTTGCAGTCCTGGATTCATCCGGATGAGAAGGATCAGCGGGGATTTGTGAAGATTCGCGTGCCTGACGGTGCCAGTGAACGGGAGGTCATTGCTGGTCCCGCTATTGCTGTGCCACGAAACATCCCGGGTCGAGCGACGTTGGGTCTCCCAGTGTACGACGTGAAGGAGAACGGTGTCAGATTCCTGAAGGATAGCTGGCGTGATGTCAATCTGCCTCAAGAATCCGACATTCTGCAGACTCTTAATAAAAAGAATGTCCGCAATGTCCCTACTTTCGTCTGTGGTGGCATTATTCCCGGCCAGATAACTACCTCCCATATGTATATCAAGGATACTTGGAACTTTGGAGCCCATCCACCGCTCACCTGTATTCGTAAGCACCAGCGAACGCTGACGGTCGAGGTTGGGCAGCCTTTGAAGAAGTTTAGGTCCTCGAAGCAACTTACGAGAGTTGTCTATGAGGCATTTTTGGGTGAGTTACGATACTGATATTTCAAACTTATTGATCTAATTCGATTCGATGTTAGCTCATGAAGATGCCTTCACATTGTGCGAAATTCTTCATCGTGATGTTAGTGGGGGGAATATTTTGATCGTATATGACAAGGAAACACCGGAAGATGACCACGAAGGCGGGGGTCGTGGTTTGTTGAACGATTGGGACATGGCTATTCGCATGGCAGACTTGGACAAACCAGCGCGACAAGTCGAGCGCACGGTCAGTGCTCACATCTTACCTGATCTTTCTCCCTTTCTCATGGTGCACAGGGCACCTGGCAATTCATGTCCATCGGTCTTCTTAGAAATAGAAACAAGAAACACGAAGCACAAGACGACTTCGAATCTTTTATATATGTAATGCTGCACCATGGCCTCCGCTACATGACCCACAGTGCAGTCGGTCACGGTCTGCGGAACATCATTTCCTCTATCTTCGATATTGCCATAGACGTTGGGAATGGACAATGGGTCGGGGCCCTCGGAAAGGGAGCTTTAGTGCATGGCTCGGGACCCCTACCCGAAGATTTTCACTTCGCTTGTGTTCCTTTCACGAAATGGATTGAGGATGCGCTGGAGGCCATCAATGAATGGGACATCTTTTCACAATCAAAACGTTTGTCGACAAAAAAGCATCGCAGCAAACCAGCCATGGACTTCGCGACCCTGGTGTTCTGCGATCACCAACCGCTGAAATTGATGTGGCAGAAGATGCTTGGCATGGATGGATGGCCCCGTAATGATCATGCAAAGTATCAGCTGGAGCCCAGGGGCAACAAGCGGCCATCCGAGGACAGTGCCCAGCCTGCACCCAAGAGGCGAAAGTCAGGACGCTTCACAGCTGCGGCTGCCTCAGGTAATGTGGCAACTCCAGCTTAGGGTGCTCGTTGTTAGACTTCCGACAGTATGGATTGTCGGGGTGTTCTCGTGCACATTACTTTGCACAGATAGTAAGCCATATATTGTAGAGTACAGATACCATTGTATTTCTATCCTACTTGTATGCTTTTCAAAAACCTTTTCACGCCGGTCCCGTGTATATGCTCCGGTTTCTCCCTGTCTACCATCTTCACCAGTGTATCCAGCATTATTGTCAAGGCCTCCTTCCGCCCGTCCAGCGCATCTGGCAGAAGCCCGAAGAGGCAGTTACGTGCTCATCTATACGTGATACAGGTCCATACTTGAGGTTTTGCTTCTACTTCGCGTCGAATCGCAATACAACTAAGGACTGATTGAGGCTCAATTCGCTAGACTGATGGATGTGCCAGACCGAGATCACTAAGCTCTTATCCGGCTAATCGACAGTGTTCAATTTGAATCTTTAAATTATTTGCGTATACCGACCGTATGCACGTTATACAGAATCCGCTTAATCCTACGTAGCAATCGGTTGTTCAGCGACTGTCGATGGCGTCCATCGATGTATCTGTTCGTCTTCCGTCTTATGACTCCTTTTCCAGTGTTATAAATATCCAGAGGTAAACGAACATCAGCAGCATCGTCAGTGAAAAACTGAATTTCCGATACCTGCCAGTTCAAGTACAATCCAAAGACTTGCAGTACTAGTGTCGCGAAGCATGATTAACGTGATCCGTACGATAAGAACAGACTCTATAAATTCTGACAGGGCGAAGACGTTGGCGCCGCGAACAAATCATGGTAGTGAGGGTGTCCGGAAATAGAGCTTTGAGAAGATTTCCGTTGCCCTGATTCTCTAGGGATGTGATGTCTAAGGATACCATAGTCTCCATCACTGGGGGGAACGTCTTTAATGAAGGCGTCATCGCTTGTAGCGGGAAGCTCGGTACAAGTTGGTTTGGTGAGGGTACAATTAGAACGGTCGATGAAGTCGCGGAGGATCTGCTCTGTCAATCTCACTGTACTGTATTTAAGTTCTTTCAGAGAGGGTAGACGCATATGCTCAAGTATCTCCGGGTTTTTCTCTGCTCCTTGTTACTGGGAATCACGTTTGGATCGGAGTGGGATGATGAAGGTGAACTTTGTGAAGGGGGTGCCGGACCGTAAATCGATCGGAGTACGAGGTCTTCCAGGTCTCTTGCAACACTGTTTCCAGTTTAATATACATACGCTAGGGTGAAGATCAATGCTGTCTCTTGATTGTCAGCGGGGTATGAATTATCCAAGTTGGATTTCCACCTCGTATTGGCCATCATTACAAGGCAGGTGAAGATCAAGACAGGCCTGTATGCTTTAAATACTGCCGACTGAACGCCGGCAAGGGGCCGAATCCCGACAGATGGAGCCACGTGGTTTGGCTGCTAACCTTCCGCGGCCCCTAATCGCAACCATCAACCATAACTTCAATGGCCGACGTAAGCGATCCCGCCATAGTGCAAGGCAAGCCCGCCTCACCCGCTCGTTGTATTAGACGACTGCTGACTGGTCCCAGCGTACGAAGACGTGCGGTCAGACAAGTCTGAAACGACATGGTTGTTACTCGACTACGAGGTGCGTTGTCGTCGTGGCAGGATACACACCGCTGACGACCGACCACGTAGTCTGACCGGTCTGACCATCTAGTCCTGACGTCGAGCGGGACGGGAAACCCGCTAGATGAGCTGAAGGATAATCTAGACGATTCCAAGGCGTCGTTTGCGTATGGGCGGGTGTCGTATGCGAATGACAAGGAGAGCAAGAGGGAAAAGTTTATCTTGGTGGTGTGGATTGGCCCACAGTGCAAGGTGATGCGCAAGGCCAAGGTGGGTTGCTTCTTTTGTTACTGAGCATTGCTGATGATTGCAGATCTCGGTGCATTCTGCCGACGTGAAGAATGTGTTGAGGGTATTTTCGATTGAGGTTGCTGCGCGCGAGAAGGGCGACCTTGAGGAGGAGCCCATCGTCAAGCGATTGAGAAAGGTTTGTGGCTTGTCTACAGTGATTTCTTATGCTAAGTTGGGTGTAGGCTGGTGGTGCAAGCTACGACGGTGTATAATTCTCCCTTAATACCCATTTAATCTATGGCCCAAGCGTTCTCAGTCTGTGTATACTCTCGTCCCCTTCGAGGCGCATTCCGACCCATTCTTCCATCCGCGTTGCCCCGAGTGTGTTTTCGTAAAACGCGATGGATGGCGCATTCCACTGTTAGCATATGAGTCGCAGTAAGATTCATAGAGCACCGATATTTACCTTGAGCACCGACCAGTCGATGCGACCACAGTTCTGCAGACACTAAGCAAGGGACGTCCCGGTGTATGCATCATACCTTTTCTTCAGCAATCTCTCCAAGTTTGGTGAAGAGCGCCTTACCTACGCCAAGGTTTCTGTGGTCAGGCGATACGTACAGATCCTCTAGCTGGTAACCGAGTGAGATACGAAGCAAGCGTAAACTAGTAAGGACGCACGTAAATCCCTGGCTTCCCAATCCAAGTTGAGAAATTGTAAAAGTAAAGTGCGAATCCTACAGGCGTGCCGTTCTCGAGAGCAGCCATCAGGACATGGGCAGTCGGCTGGTTGCTGAACAGAGCGGTATGCAGCTAGTAGTAAGACTGGTCAGTATCAGGCCTGGAAACACGATGTCAGGACTCGCCAGCTCTGGTGTAGCCTTTGCACTCTCTGGCGTCTTTTCATATGTGGCCAAGTCGAGTATAAACTGCAGAATAGCAGGAATGTCGTCGGGCACAGCTGGTCGTACGCTGAACATGAAGAAGAGTATTGTATGCATCTATTTACACCAAACCTTATTTTGTCCTCTTCCTCCCAATCTTTTTCGTACGCCGCCCCCCCGCCCCTCCCCACCATGGATCCAGCAAAATTGGCAAAGCTCCAGGCTGCCGCTGCAGCGAATAGGATAGGTGCGCAGCCCCCGTGTGACGGAGAAGAAGAAAAAAAAAGAATTGACTGGAACAGGTGGAAAGGGCACCGTGCGCCGCAAAGTCGTCCGAAAGGGCAAACCCGCCGCCGCCCAGGACGATAAGAAACTGCAGGGGGCGCTCAAGAAGCTCAACGTGCAGCCCATCTCTGGCGTGGAGGAGGTCAACATGTTCCGGGAGGATGGCAACGTTTTGCATTTCACGGCCCCGAAAGGTCGGTTCTGTTGCATACCCTTTTCTCGTCGCGCTGACGCCTGAACAGTACACGCTGCCGTCTCTGCCAACACTTTTGCAATCTACGGTGCCGGCCACGTAAAGGAGCTGACAGAGCTCGTCCCAGGGATACTCAACCAGCTCGGCCCAGGTGCGCAATTCTCTTACTCTGGTACTACCCCCAACATTGACAACCCCGTCTCATCAGACTCCCTGGCCTCCCTACGAAAACTCGCAGAATCATACCAGGCCATCCAACAACAACGTCCAGGGCAACCCGCAGAAGAGGACGACGACGACGACGTCCCAGACTTGGTGGAAAACTTTGACGAGGCTGCAAAGTTGGATTAGTTTATCCGTCGATGTAAAAAAAACGCACACATTCTGCTTGCTCGCTATGAAGTTTTTGGCATTTCCCTTGAGAGTGGTCTTAAGGCGGGTATCGTGACGCGCGCTGAAGTCTTGCATGACTTGGACTGTAAACATAATTATTTTACGTGTTTCTCCTAAATTCATTTAGTGTTTCTCGTTGGGTCAATATCAAGCGCGATATGCGGATATCTTCGTTCTGATATTTGAGTCGTGTACGCGCCTGGATATTTCACGCAGAGATAAAAGAGTTTGTTGATCAAAAAGCGATGATGATTGCCATACATAATCCAATGGTTTACGACATGAGAGAAGGAGCCAAACGAATAGAGCGTAGCTCCCTTGGCTTATCGACTAGACTTTTCGCGCCTTAGGCCTGATGCAGATGGCTCACAAGTAGAGCAATTCACAGAATCCATCAACAGTCCGGCTCCTCGTTCTGCTTGACACTGAAAAACCATCTCGCTAATCAAAAACATCAGAACCCCCATCGAATGACTCAGCGATAACTATTGTAAAAACCTGGGATTTGTTGCCAGAATCTGTACAGGAGTATGTTTTATGTCTATCCACAATCAAATTCACGTCCGCCACTGTAGCCAACATTGTATCCCTTCTCTCCTAAGTCATTTCCATCGTATTTCAAGACGCTGTGCGCTCAGTGCAGTATTGATTTGAAGAGACGGGGTCGGGAGTAATCCACCTGGACAGTCGGCGGCGATATTCATAGTTGCACACAGTGTACCCCATTTTTTCAAGGTTTAAATTAACGCCTATTGACGCGGACGCAGACGTGTGGATCTGGCGTGTTCGAGGGGTCCCCCTGTCGTTCTTTTCTGACAGATGCAAGTGATATTTTAAAGAACAAAGCAAGAACAAAGATACGGATTGGGAAGTTTTTGGTCTTTGTAAGGAGAATAGAAAATCTAACAAATGGAGTTAACGTACATATGCATCACGGTATTTTTTTTTTTTGTAAATATGATACACAATTCCAAAATGCACCGAGCGCTTCCTCATTATCCGCCCACCATTTACTGTATTCCTCAAGGACGTCCTTCATCGCCTCGTCCACCTTGGCTGAATATGCCTGCTGGCGGGCTTGCCGTGTGGGTTTCTCCACCTAGAGAACCCGGGTCGTCAATGAGGGAGAATAAACGAGCCTGAAGTATGCTTACCGGCGTATCAAAGAGATCCTCAGGTGCAGGGGGTACGTCCTTGAAGAGGCGGTCCTGGGAAAGAATCAAATGAGCCTGTGCTTGCGCCGGTGATATGTATGTACCCCCCGATTTTTCATGTTCATAACTCTCCCGCCCCCCCTTGGGGACAGATTTTCCAGACACAAACCATACGACCCGTCCACCGAATTACGAGTCTCTATCTAGGGATATACCATCCGAAAATCCCTCGACGCTCCGGTTGCCACGACCTCTTCGTCCTGATATTCTGTCAAGACCTATGTTATTGCGCACCTCCCGACCAGACCGCATGCAAGGTGCAGGTACACGTACATCACCCATCGTATTGGATGACGATGGTGATACTGTGATGGGTGCACCTGCTCCGGCTATACCCCCGTTCCTCCATAACACTAACCGCCCCTCGATACCTCCGCCACGGGGGATTGGGCCCTTCCGGCATGCTATCCGTGCGGATGGTCCGGATTTGAATGTGAATGTAGATGAGAATCCGTTTGCGACGAATGTAAGACCACCCTGGGAAGAGCCACTGATGTCGCTTTCTCCATTGAGGGGGAGAGGCAGTGTAAGGCACGCTCCACCTCCCGCTGTTGCGGCAAGTGCAGGCAACTTGTACGATCGACAGCCGCCATTCATGGAGCCTCATACTGTCGTTCAGCCACCCGATGCCAATATCTTGTACCATACGAACAGTAGCATCAATTTTCCAGATATATAAGTGACATATTTTGGTTCCATAGTGTATGTCTAGCGGCTTTGACAATCACTAACCAATACCTACAGTTGTTTCTAAAGGTATTCAATAAAAGTTTTACGACAATCCCTGAGTACTCCCAAGAACTTGTATGTTCAACCCTAATTCTGGTCGCCAATTTCATCATCCAAACGTGCAGTTTCTGCCTGACAAAAACTCAACCAATGAATCCTTCCGGCCTTGCGTTCGGGCTGCTGTCCGCGATTTAGGCGCCAAGATTGCCGTTTTTTCTCACCGCATATGCATGTGTTCACGAGATGTCCAACTATGGGATCCAGCCCGACCTATCTGCGTCTTATTCTTAGATAAAAGGAATAGGCGCTCAGAGACGGCTGTTCGTCTCCTCCTTGATGACTCGCAAGCCGCGATCCAAGAAGTCTGTGAGTTTCGATTTCCTCCGATACTCCTCGAGCTGTGTTGACTCTCATCTCACAGCAGACTGAGCCTGCCGTCTCCCAAGCTCTGGTTCCAGCATCCTCGGTTGGTGGCTACACGCTTGGTTCCCAGTGTGACGTATATGCTGAACAGGGTGTATCGTAGCACGATTTCGACTCACCATCAGAGGAGGAACCCTTGCGCTCTCCAGTTGTATTGGCTCCAGCTCTTGTGGTATCAATTTATAAGTCGATGCCTCTGCGATAAGATCATCTAATATGATCGCTTGTCCAGGTACAGCGGAGTAGTGTTCAGAAAACTGGGGGGTCGAACACCGATAAGGTACTACTTACTGTCACCATCTTACTCTCCTTTCCAAATCGTTCAGGTTGAGAAACAGAACTTACTACCGATGCCGCCACAGTCTCCGCCTCCGCCTTATGGATCTCGCTCTCAGGCTACGCCGCCACCTAGGCAGCCTGGCAACTACATGACAATCATTCGAGATTCGGGTCCCATCAAGGAAAGCTTTCTCATAGACCCCATGCTCTCCGTTCCGTCAGATCTTCTACCTCCTCTGACTCCTTATGAAACGGAGAGCTGTAGGAACAATCTTAACATTGAGACAAAGTCGGGAGAAATCGACACTGACATTGAAGTCATGAAGTCAGGCTGGTCGACCCGTTTCCGAGCCAACATACGCTCTCGTGGCGACATCGTGATCCGTTTAGTACGTCTTTTCCATTCACGAGTTGCGTGTTAGTAACGCCGTGTAGCGTTTACCCGGCACCGTCTCTCCCCACGATCCGACTCGCCCAGGACCGCTGTGTGTTATGGACGTCTATGCGAGTTCGGGAAACATCTACCTTTTGATTCCGCGGAAGCGCATGCAGGGACGATTGAACGTTACCACTCGCGGCAATGTCATCTTTTCTCCCGCACTGCAGAAGGACTTGAATATCTTTAACGAGAGCGAAAAGCGGAGGGAGTGTTTTATAGGGGATTGTACTGCATGGTCGGAGGATTTGGGAGATAAGATCAACTTGGAAGCGAAATCGGGAGGGGGGGTGTCGGTCCAGTATAACGACGAACCATTTGTGAAGCCAGAAAACGGAGATTGTATTGTTTCTTGATTTTTTTTTTTCAATTATTGCATGGCCCTATACTCTTGGAGATAGGGCTTGTTTTATTACAGTGCCCAGTACTGTCTTGTCTTCTTGTAACTGTTGATCCGTACACGTCCTCGACAGAGATATCATAGTCATGAAATAAGCCAAAATTCCATGCAGTGTGAAAGAGAGACTCCCAGATGCTGCCATCGATGCATGGAGCTGTTGACTGTTGGTAGCCCAATCATTTCTACTAGTGTGGGCCTTGGCTTCATGCTGTTCTGACAGTGCAGATTCAGTTGCATCAGCACTAGGATGTATCAAATGCATTGATTGGCAAAGAAAGGGAATCCTCGTTGATGCCCTACGCAAGAGGATGGTTTGAGGATAAACATAGAAAAAGAAAGAGCAAGGCAACTTGACATACATGCACTATCTGATAGAATTTTCTACTTCAAAAGAAAGAATCTCCAACGTTGCTCCCTAATCACCGAAATGACTACTTGCTTCATCTTTACAGTGGAAGGCGCTTCGTATATTCAACTCTACCCCAGAATTAAGACGGCGTGCGTATCAGCAAACACTACCCAGTGCTGCGGCTGCAGGGGGCCCATACTCGTTTACAAAACGTACGCTGAGAGCTGCGACTGTCCCCTCGTTAGATGAAACTAATTTGGCTGCATGACCTTTCGTTTCACGACTTGGTCCGAAGCCGTTGGAGACCGTCTCTATCCATAATCACGTTCGCCTTCTAACTCTCACCTTTACTGAATACTGGATGTCCAGAATCCATCTGAACGCATGCATACGGCAATCACATGATAAGTAGTAAAGTGCTGCATTCCAGTGTTCTGACACGAAAATCATTATGCCGTGCGTTTCAGTGACTACCTGCTATGCATCCTGGGACGTCGCATAATCCAGACCTGTCCCATTTACTGTGAGGATTCGCTTGTTGAAAGATAACCGCGATTGCTTCGACGAAGGGCCCGGGCTTGAGTGGGAAGTTATATCCGACATGGAGGCGAGTTGTAAAGTGAAAAACACGAACACTCTGGAGAAGACACATTCGGAACGGACTTTGGAAAATTTCTGTCTGAATAATTCTTCTTTGGATATTGCTGCGGTCGATCAGGCGTACGGTCGCATACATTAAGTGGTATATAATCTGCGGAATGGAAAGGAACTGGGATCCCAGACAGGCTCAGCGCACCGGCTGCTGCAGGCAGCAGCATGTACGTACTCACACAGTTAGATTTACCAGTAAGCTCAGTCAAGTACTACTTGGTTCCGAAAAGTGGTAGAGACTGCCGCCGGCACGGAAAGGCGGGACGGTGCCCTGAAGATGTCATGTCGCGTTAGTTCTCGTGACTTCAGTCTTTCTCTTACCCCTCCCCTCTCCCTACTGGAGCACCCCTGGCTCGTTGTTCTATTGTTCCAGGGCCATAGTATATCCTAGCTGTGATTCATCTCTGACTTTCTCTGTAGTACGTTCTCCTTTACTCACTAGCCGGGATCTCCAACTTTGCTGCAAATTTCGTTTCAGACTCTGAAGCGCTTTCCACCGCGTCGCGTTCCTATGAATGACCCAACCATTGAAAATCCCACAAGTCTGGTCGTTCATGCAGCTTTTAGAGAGGCTTGGGACGCGTTTTACGCTTGGGAACAGGAATATTGTCGGGAGTCTATCCGAAACCTCGCCGTACAAGACATCGACGAGGTAAATGAAGACGAATGGGAAATCGGTCAATCGGCGAGGTTGGGGGCTGAGGGGTTCTGCATCCAGCAATACCAGGATGGTGACACCATAACGTCTTGGCTACCTGTTGAAGTCATCGAAGTAACAGCGCTGTTTCCAGAGTGCTCGCCATATGAATCCTCACCTCTCGCCAGTCGCAGTGTCTTCCACGGTGACGACCCTGATAGCATGCTCTTTATGCCATTTGCGGATGATCCTAGTTTTATTGAGATTCCGCAAGATGGAGACCAGCTGCACCACACATATTACACAGAGTTTGAATGGCAGACCCTAGATGATCCCGATAGTAACACCCCATTTTATTTCGTTCATGTTTCATTTCTGATTTCCGAGTTTTAGTTGAGATCATCGTCTCTGCCGCAGCGCAGAAGTTGATCAATTTGAACAATATGACCTTTGAAGAGATAGACCACACAAACGTCTTCCCCTCGGAAATGCAAGTCATGGCAAATCTTTGCCGTCGACGGTAGGGTGGTCTCTTCCTGTGCATACTAAGTAACTAACCTGACTTAATGCAGAGACTTGCTGCCATGGCTCAGAACGTCCTTCTCCCTCCCGGGGTCCGGACCCAGGACTCGCGAAATTTCATTCTTTTGCAATAATTTAAACTGTTTAGTCAGTCATTGCATGGTCCATTGTACGCACGCCTTCCAAGTCCTTCAGGTTCTATTAATGGTAGTCTCGCAGGGGAATACAGTCCAATACCTGTGAAACAAATGCCTAAAAAGAAGAGCATTAGGTTATCCGACGATAATGCGGAGCCTTGTGGGCCGAACTGTTTTCTTCACGGAAATTTGACTTTCATCGTAGGTTCCCCTGTATCCGTTTATGCCTAAACTCACGGCGTCTAGGAGATGCATTGGACTCCGGAAGATATCGAGACGTTGCATATCATGCTGGACCATGCCCCAGACATGATTCCATGCGAACTCACGACCATATGTAGAAAGCCTTGCCAAGAAGTCCTCTAGCCTGTTGACTTGTCACCGGTACATCCGTCTGATTATTGCCTATAGATTTACAAACGTCGATGTGTCTATATCCCAGATGTTTTGGTCGATGCTATACCTCGCCAGCGGCCTCCAATGCGTTACAGGAACTTGAAGATCAAAGGTATTTGGCTCTTCCTGTGCAATATTCACCGAACATGATCCCCGCCACTCAGATACAGACCACCATGCATTTACTCCGTATGTCGGCAGCCTTTACATCCATCGTATCTCTGACAGTGTCTTAGAAATATACCTTGCGAGCATGACGGTCCCTGCGACGCCCAATCCGGCTGTCTATGTTTTAAAAACAATAATCATTGCGTGCGAAGCTGCCAGTGTGCCGGTCATCGAAAGCCTTGTATCCGCCGACGGACTGGGTGTGATTGCTCAACCAGGGAATGTCGGAGGAGCCCTTGCTCGTGCTTCATGGAGAACAAAGAGTGCGATCCTGAATTATGTCACAAGGGAAGAGCCAGGTATGCCTTGCCATCTTTCTGCATCTAGGCTGCTCTGATGGAAACCCTATTCCAGAGGTCTGTATTCGCTGCGAACATTCTTCGATGATAACTGACAATATCTAGACCTGGAGGACTGTACGATCTGCAGGAACATGGCCATCCAGCGCGGTAGACAGAAGGTAATATCCCTCCTTCTCGTTTCGAGAGTTTTAACGGTTAACGGGATTAACAACATCTAGGCCGTGGAGGTCAAGGAGAGCCAATGGGGGCTGGGTCTCTATCTTTTAGAGCCTGCTGAGAGAGACGATTTCATTATCGGCAAGTCGTAGATACCCGATGCTTTCTATCTGGCCTGACAGGACACCAGAATATGTGGGGGAACTCATTTTTGAGCCGTCGGTGGATACTCGATGGTATGCTGTTTTCTGTGCTTTGAGGAAATTCTCTCATACATCCTGAAGTGATCTTGCTCGACATCGAAATCGAAACTACATGTTTGAGTTGAATCAAACCCTCACATTGGATAGCACATATCTCTCCAACGAATCGCGATATATGAATCATAGCAAGCAGTCTAATTGTCGCTCTATAAGTGAGTGGAATTCACACCATAAGTGATGACATGACCTGAAATTGGCTGCCGAAAGCGAAACTTGTCAATGGGGAACACCGCATTGGGATATATGCCAGTACGTTTAAGATCTTGTTATCCAGTTAAGAAGCAAACGATGTTTAACGTGTAACGTATGTATGCAGATCGGAGAATGCAGCCCGGCGAAGAGCTATTGTTTGATTATGGAGATAACTTCTTTCAAAATGATTGTAAGTGCGCTACGGTCGACGACTTCAGAGATTGACTAGTGCCTTGTCTCATAAATTAGAGGCGCCCTTATTCTCCATGAAGAGGGCCATATAGTTTCTAGTCAGGTCGCCCTTCCTATTGATTGACTAGTCGTCTGAGGAGACAGTACGAAGGTACAGGACTGGTAGCCGCACAAGGTATACGAATTGCTGCGTACTCGAAACATTATTTCGTGAACGACAGTTGAAAAAATTATTTCTGTTAGCTCCGATGTCAATTGCAGATCTAATAAAGCCTTTGCGGTAGTATGCATATGGCGTGAAAATACCAGCCCTCAAGGTTTCACGAACGAAGTTGTGATAATTACATTCACAGGTGCCAGAGGACCGCTTTAATATTGGGATACCGGTGAACGTAAATATTTTGACGTACATTTCCAACGAGTCAGTGCCCTGCCTCCTTCCAGACAGACTGTAAAATGATACAAGTCGTTCCAATACAAGTAAGAGTCACAATAAACGGATTCGGCCCGATTTCTGGCAACGCCACATGGCCTGCCCTCATGTCAGCACGTGCCCGTGCCGCGCCTCCTTTCACGCGCCCTCCGTTGTCCTTACTCACAAAGGACTACCCAATATCGGAGGGTGGTGTTTGCCCCTCTGCCGCTGTATAAATCTGCCGCACCCTGACCTCCGTGAGTACCCCACTTGCTGCCATGCCGAGCTCAGGTAATTATGGTCTTCACAGTGGAAGGACTTCATCCCCGCCTCAGAGTGCACAGCAAACTGGGCCGCCAACAACTGGTACGTG